TAAATTAACTCGTCTTTTCTAATTTTTATTGGATTCTTTATTTTTTCTAATTTTGATATAATCTGGTTCTATTGTGACTATCGCTTGTTAAGTGAAGAACAGGTTAGAAGATTTCAATCAAATCTATCGAAGCTATATATTCATGTGATGCAAATATCGAATGTTTAGTTGTGTTTTTCTCTCTTTTTTTATATTAATAATTTTTTTCCATAAGTTTTTTCTATTATTATCGTTTTTCAATTAATGAAGATTATATAGGTACGAATTTATTACAATAAGATATTCATCTCTTCTTTTCAAAATTTGCATTTATTTTTTTTTCTTTTATTTCTTGCGTGTCTTTAGACTTGAATCATAATTCTACAAAATTACTCTAACACACTCTTCCCGTGATCTATCACAATTACTCTAACACAACCTCTGTTTATTATTGGTTTTCTACAAGATTTTGCATGTAGAGATCGAACGATTCATTGGGATATCAATAATTATGGTTAAATCTACCTTCTCATCCGTAGCATTTTTTACTTAATGACAGTACGTCTAATAAAGAAAATCTCAGATTTTTTTTAACACGTTATTTTTCAATTGTAATTTGAGGGAAACTATAAATGCTTCACAAATGTGTGGGGCAAGGTTACCATTAAAGGGGCTTAATTTGGACATATTGGCAACAATAGTAAACATTAAAATATAGATTTTATTAGAATTTTAGATTTAGGTTAAAAAATATATTTGTTAAAATTTAGATTTAGTTAACTAATTATTTATTAATACCCTCGTTAAATTTAGTGAATAGTTATATTTTTAACATTTATTGTTTAGTAAGATATATTTAGATATCTTATAATTTGGTAAACTAATATCGTATTTGCGAAACTCTGTTATGTCTTTATTTATATTCATGCTATTTTCTATTTATATTTATAACCATATCTCAACAATTGAGTAATCTGCGATCCACTTAAAACTAACTTTAAAAATTTTTTTCTTTATCTATTTATTTATTTTGTTGTCTAGTAATAATATTCTATAATTTGAATAATTATATATTATGAAATTACTTGATCTTTCATAAACTTTTATATATTGGAATTATCTAATATGAACAATAGAACAAAAATTAATTGTAGATTTAGATTTAGTTAAAAAATAATTGTAAATTTAGATTTAGTTTAACTAATTTTTTATCCCCCTTAATTTAGTGAATAGTTAATTTTATTTATGTGTTATTTGTATTTATTGGTAACTTATCTTTTGGAAATCTGTATTCTTTATTTATGCTTTTAATATTTTTAATTTAACATAAAATTATCCACATTAAATTAATTTAAATTTTTTTCTTATCTATTTATTATTTTGTTGTAGATTATCTATATTGAATTATTTGAATTACAGAACTTTATATTTTATATTGAATTATCTAGGATAAAAATAGCGTTTGAATTATAAACTCTAACTATATCTTTGCTAGAATAATTGAAATTTATAATTATTTTAAATAAATTAACGGCATTATAATTTCTATATAACACGAAAATTTAATAAAGCAATCCGCGTGGAAAATGAATCTTATAATATATATTAAATATGATTCATATATTAGAAATACATATTATTCATAACTTATAAATTAGCAAAGTAATCTGCGAAAGCGCGAATCTTCGTCTAGTTAAAAGAAAAAGAAGCAAACTCTTCGATAAGAGCTTTGCAATATGAAATAACATTACCGAATTAAGAGTGATCCACTTTATTTTCTCCTTAAGGCTTGAACTACCAACATAGAATCAGTCTCCATTATAATAGGATTCAAAAAACCTTTGTTCCTCCCCCAACTATGGTTCTCTAAAACCTATAGCTTCTGCCATAACCGAATTAAAGACTTCATTCACCACTAAAAGCTTGCCTCCTCTATTACGTCCCTGCATGTCCCTTACAATCCATGCAACACTAGCCCTATGAGAAGAAAGATCATAAGCTGCATCCATATTGCACTTCAATGAATGCACCACAGGAGGATGCCAAGTTGCTGGAAATGGAACACGAAGCACACTAGTGACAGTTTTTGCAGCTTATGCAGATTGCCACTCCACGAATAATTGTTGTGCTCGGAAAACAATCTCATTAGCAAGCAGGGTTCTTTAATCAAGCAAAAGTATGTATGGATTACTAAGATTGCAATCAATACAAGCTAAGTCAAATAATCATTTAGACTTACAGCCAAGTATAAAAGAAAATGGCATGATAGTTTTTGTTTATGAATTTTTTTTTTTTATTATTTTTCTGTTGTTGCCAAGTGCATCCTGATTCAAACCTAGTGTTAATTACACCCAAGTTAAAAAATAATATTTTAAAAAAATATATTATCTATTACTCTCTTCATCCCAAAATTATAGTCTCATTTTTCTTTTTATGTCAGCGAAATAATAGTCCTATTTACAGTTTTAGAAATGTTTTTCTTTTTCACTTTTTTTTCACAATACCCTTGTATAATAATTTGTGTAAATAAGTTAGCTTAATATTTAGATGTATTAGTTTGAAATTTGTGATAATTAGTTTTAAAAAATTATCTTTTATTTATATAATCTCAACATGTCCAATTCACTTTAACATTTTTATATTTCTTTGCAACTACAATACGAAGGAAATTAGAATATTTGCTTAGCACTAAGTTCTCTCCATTTCCATCCATTATGTATATTTCTTCCATGATAAGAGTAAAATGTATTGTGATAAGTAGCTTTAAATTATTTTTTAAAAAAATTCTTCATAGTTAAAATACCAAAAGTTTTTCAAGCGAAAACTCCAAAAAATATAAAAGTATAAAAATGAATCTTTTGTACTCCCTCTGTTCTCTTTAATTAGATAAAATTTTCTTTTTGGATGTATTTTTATATAGAGAATTTTACTCTAAATAATAACTTTGGGATGCAAGCCAAGTTAAAAAGACTAGCATGCCCTTAGAGTGTACGTGTTTGTTTTAAGATTGAAACTCAATAATCAAGAAAAGTGGCAGATACAAATATTCTCAACATTTAATGTGCGCGTGTTTCAAGGGACAAGTTATCTACTCACTTTTTCATTTCGTTTTATAGTAACAGTAGTTGTTTATATAAATTTGGTCACAAAATTAAAGTTACGATATTAAAAGTCAAAATAATTACTATATAAATACGAGTTAGCTCTTATTTGTATGTTTGATAAATATATATCCACTTTTATTCTTGTAAATTCAGTCACAACTATTGACGTCATGTTAAGCTTAGTTAAGTTTTGAAAACGGTCACATTTTGTTTTTAAAAGTGCATGTATGTTTTGATTATTGAAAAATGGGAGAAATTAGAGTTAGTAAGCCACTTAGTAGCCTTTTGTTTTTAGTAGCTTTGCACTTTTTTAATGATTTTTCTTTATCTATGTTAGTTAATGGCTTTGAATTTCTGTAAGTCACTTTATGATCTTTTCATTATTAGTCATGTATTTCTATAACTCATTTTGTGACATTGTTATTATTAGTTGTGTACTTTTGAATAGTTATTTTTTTGTGTTAGTAACATTTGTGAACATCTATAAGTCACTTTGTAGTCTTTTTATTATTAGTGGTGCACTTCTATAAACCATTTTGTGGCGCTGCTATTATTAGTTGTGCACTTTTTAATAATTATTGTTTTCTGTGTTAGGTAATATTTGTGAATTTCATTAAGTCACTTAGTGGTCTTTTTATTATTAGTCATACACTTTTATAAGCCATTTTGTGGCTTTATTATTATTAGTTGTGCACTTTTTTAATAATTATTATTTTCTGTGTTAGGTAACGGTTGTGAACTTCTGTAAGTAACTTCATGGCTTTTTGTTATTATTAATCGTACACTTTTAAAAATACAATACTTTATTTTTTTTTGTACTCTTTTGTAAGACACTCTGTGGCCTTTTGTTAATAGTATTTGTGAATTTTTGTAAGCCATTTTATGATATTGTTATTATTAGTTGTGCACTTTTTCAATAGTTATTGTTTTTTGTATTAGGTAACGGTTGTCAACTTCTGTAAGTCATTTTGTGGTCTTTTATTATTATTAATTGTGTACTTTTAAAAAGGCAATACTTAGCATTTTTATGGCTTATAATTTCATTTCTGGGCACATATTATGTAAAACGTCCCCATTGTAATAAAGAGTAATAGAGTTAATAAAGAAAGGTGGAATATGCCACCCCAAAAATATGCAAGTAGGCAATAAATGCACTTTTTAAAAATATTTTTTGTGTCAGCTATCGTTTCCATAATTAATGAAAAAATGAACTATTTTTAAAGGCATTTTAGAAAAAAAATTCATTTAACTAATTTTTTTAATCCAAGAGCTTTTTTTGAACGAAGAGAACATGGAGTATAAATTTAATAATTCTGATAATAATAAACAATAGAAACGAAAAATCCATAAAATGAATATACATTTTTTCGGTGAAAAAAAATATTTGTAAAAAATTGAGTAAACAATGAATACCAATCATATCAATAAATTAATAATTATTTGTTTTAAATAAAAAAAGAAAATTAAAAGGAAACCCACAAGAAATTGCCGGTAATTTTAATAGCGGGTTTGATCTAATAAACAAATACTTCATCCATCCCATTTTGTTTGCTTGTTATTCTTTTTTTGAACGTCCCAAAATTTTTGTAAGATTTTTAAATTTAGACATGCAAAAAATTATTTTTTTCATAATTACTTTTATGATTCTTCATTAAAGGAGAGACTTTTATTAATATCTTCAATGAGTTAAAGATAAAAAAATATAAAATAATTTTTATTTGACTAAATTTTTAATATACATATTTTTTCAAACTATATAAATAAAATAGAACCGACAGAATATATATCATGCAGTAAAATATAGTCCGACCTCCCTTTAAAAAGAGTCCCAGTCAAAGACTCATTAATTTTATGGGCTAAGAACTAGGCCATAATCGCCAGATATTTGGGTCAAAAGCCCATGAAAGATGACGCAAGCACACACGTACAAAGCGGGTAGAAACGTGTTAGGGTTTCTCTGGCTTCTCTCCTCTCTATAAATTCAAAGCCAGCGAGCATCTGTTTTCTTGTTTCCTTTTTCTAGGGTTTCTGCAGCTGGTTCAACAGGGTCGTTGTCGCCATGGGGAGAAGTAAGTTTCTCATCCTTTAATCTCACTCAAAAGTCTCTCCTATTTGAAGCTTATGCCTCAATCTCTATCTCTATATGGTTATTTTTAATGAATCGAAGATGGTTGAAATGATTGTTTACATTCTTTAGAGTAGATCTTAAGGAGAACTGACTCTATTTGCTTCTGCTGTTTTTTGTTTGTTTTGCATTGGTTGCAAGTAGAATTTTGAATTGGAGTTGGAGTTGTTTAGGGTTTTGATTGGAGTTGTTTTACAATCTCATTGCACTATGTCGTTCCTGATGTTAGCCTTTTGGATTTTTTTTAAATGATGTTAAATGTTACTGTTTGTTTATCTCCTTGAGATGATTATTAAAGGTTGATGTTATTTTAGCTTGCTGGGTTATTGACTCCAACATAATCAGTGTTTTTGAAATGTAAAATTGGGCTGCATATCGATTTATAATCGATACTAAGGTGGTCAACTATATTCGGGGAGATAATGAGTGGGAAATATAGAAATATTAGGGCTTTACACTATTTGCATGGTGTGGTTTGTAAGTGCTATGGAGTTTGTTTCTTTATAAACATTTGGTTTCTGCAGTAAATATATGGATGTGTAATAGCTCCAGTTTAATTGCCAGTATTAGTATTTGTTATGCTTTGTAGTTCAATATTTATTAAAATTTATGTTTTAGCCTAATTGATTATTTGCTTTGTATTCTAAGTTACTTTTGGTTTTCTCAAGATTGATATTTAGTGCTATTGTCAAATTTACTGGATTAATATTCTGTTTATTCTTGATTTTTGCAGGACCTGCAAGGTGTTACCGCCAGATCAAAAATAAGCCATACCCAAAATCACGCTATTGCCGTGGTGTGCCTGACCCCAAGATCAGGATCTATGATGTGGGTATGAAAAAGAAAGGAGTAGATGAATTCCCATTCTGTGTGCATTTGGTGTCTTGGGAGAAGGAGAATGTCTCCAGTGAAGCCCTTGAGGCTGCCCGAATTGCTTGCAACAAATATATGGCTAAGTATGCTGGAAAGGATGCTTTCCACTTGAGGGTCAGGGTACATCCATTCCATGTCTTGCGTATCAACAAGATGCTTTCATGTGCTGGAGCTGATAGGCTCCAGACTGGTATGAGGGGTGCTTTTGGCAAACCTCAGGGTACTTGTGCTAGAGTTGCTATTGGACAGGTTCTTCTCTCTGTTCGTTGCAAGGACAACAACAGTCATCATGCTCAGGAGGCTCTCCGCCGTGCAAAGTTCAAGTTCCCTGGTCGCCAAAAGATTATTGTCAGCAGAAAATGGTATACTTTTGACTTTTTGTTTCCTGAAATTTTTTTTTAGCTGTCATGAGATATATGCAAGTAATGTTGAGTCCATCCATGTTGAACAATCCTTTGACGGTGGTGCATCATCTTTATTTGTTTTACTGAATCGATGGCAAGTTTGTTTCTCTGAATTAAAAAAAAGAACAGTAGAAATTCATGGCCTAAATTTTCTTTCCCAATTCAATTAGCTAACAGTCACCAGGCTTGATATATATGATTTGTTGGGGATATGAAATTGTGTCCATGAGAAGCTTGATTATGTCTATTACTTCATCATCTGATAACTGATAACTGATAACTGTATGCACAGGGGTTTCACCAAGTTCAACCGCACTGATTATGTGAAGTTGAAGGCAGAGAATCGCATTATGCCAGATGGTGTCAATGCTAAGGTTAGTTTCTGTTTCAAATTTCAGTGTGCCATTTGTTTTAACCACATGATCTTATTTATTTGTTTGTTTTGTTTTTGGCTGAAATATACTAGCTGTTTATTAGTTGTCTTCTCTACCAAGCTTATTAAACTAATAATGGCTCTTTATTTGTTGTAGCTTCTTGGATGTCATGGACCCTTGGCCAATCGTCAACCTGGAAGAGCATTTTTGCCTGCTACTGCTTAAGATCTTCTTATGATGCAGAATGTCTTTTCTTGTTTTTGTCTCTGATTATGAGGATGGTAGAAGTTGCTATTTTTATTATGATATGGTAATGTGATAAGTTTATTTTGAGCTGTATTAAGGATATAATATGAATGACTTTGGGATCATCTTGATTTAGATTTTGGATTGAAATTCTGAATTTTTATTATTTCAAAAATTTTTTTTTATCGAGCAGCATGTTAGTTTTTGAATGATGATTTTGTTTTGCATGTTTTATGCAATTGAAAGAGAGAAGGATGTCATGAAAATAATTTAACAGGAGCTGCGTGTATGTATGTATAACTATGAATTGATCGTAGCTAATAAACATTGAGCAGAGGTTTAATGGAAAGGGAATTTTGTTGAAATGCAGAAAATAAAATATGCAAAGAAAATGACAATATTAGGATGTTGTACAAGTTAATTTATGGTTATTTTATGTTATTTTCCTTGCATCATTTGCCGTTGGGATAATCAACCGGATCCTATAATAATACAGAATCCAGTTTGCGATTAATAAAAAGCTGAGTTGGAGTTAATGAGTACACTGCAAATATACTAGTATCATGTCATATAAGAACCAATGTGCAACTCATCCGTCAATGATACGTGAGAGAGGTTCTTTCATGGATAAAGAACAGAAATGCCATGATGTGCAATTCGAAGTTAATTCTAGATAGCAAAACACAAAACATTGTGCAATTCGTAAAAACAAAATTGAGTTCTATTCAATAACATAAATTTTTCCATCATACTTTTTTCCCGAACAATGGAAAAATAAGTTAAAATGTATAATTAACTAGAATTTGAACTGCTTAACATCAATCAATTTAAATTTTAAAATTAAGATTAATCCAAAATGTTTTATCAAAGAAGTGCCTAGCCTACAGTACTCTCCCTCATAAAAAACTTTCTATATTTTCTTTCTAAATAATCTTGGAGCTGGTTTCTTTCTAGGCTTGATTACAGGTTTTGCTTGCTTTTCCTTTTCATCAGCTGATTTTACCTCTGTTTTTCTGGTTGATAAACTCTTGTCATCGTTTTCTTGAGGAACAAAACCATTTTTCCCCACCTTCTCTGATCTTTCTTTGCAGATTGTTGTGTTTTGTGGTTGGGGTTCTTCAGTATCTGACAACTCCTCATTCTTATCTGCCTTTGCTTTCTTCGAGTTGCGTGTCTGTTTTGACCTATTTGTCTGTCTTGAATGTGAATCAATCTTCTTTTTCTTTTTTGATGCATTCTTTGCCTCTTTAGATTCTTGTTTGTCCACAATATCTGCAGCGTGTGTTTGACTAGACAGGGATGATATCCTAAATATGTAAACCTGCAATGTAATGCAAAATGAAGTTAGTAGTATGTACTTTAGATTTGAGTGTTTTGGTTAAGAATGGCTGAAATCTATTTTGTAAACAAAATCTTGTACCTATATTACAAAATTATGAAATAGTATAGAAGCTTTTAACCAATATTTAGGATTTCCAAATATGGAGAATGCCGCCACGGCTATACCACCTGAGTTTGATTTTGGAATCCTCAAAGAAACTAGTCTACCTCTAGATCTAATATTCTAGGTTCAATAACATGAGATCAGATAACTTTTCTGTACTACTTGTACAAGCACTTGCCGTGATCCTAAAATATTCAATATTCTTTCTAAAGGCATAAAGAACGTGTTAGAATCAATAAGATAGGTGACACTCCTGTTTCCAAAGAAATCAATGAGAATCACAGCCCTTTGAAGGTTCATTTTACAGAACTTGTTTCTCTCCATATGAGTTAGTTCTATGAGCTACCAATTCTTAACAGGGTATCAGAGTTCAATTTGATTCTTAAGGGGTTTGTGAATGAGAAACTAAGTAAGAAACCTTCCTAACAAACCAAGACACTTGTGAGTTTGAGAGTATGGTTTAAGCAGTTTCTCCACCCCTTCACTTCCTGCTTCTACTGGTGAAAACTAGCAAATATGTGCAGTTAACAGGAAGGCTTATTTGAGAGCTTTTGATTATTGAGAGGCTGTGGAAATTGGTACAGATCCTCCTCCTATGGAAGAAAATCCCACAGCCAATCAAAAGAAACAATATAGTGAGGAGTGTGCAAAGAAGGGGGTCTTGCGTAAATTCAGTGTTTGACAGTGTTACTTAGAACGTGGATTACCCTCTCATTTCGCTTAGCGATACATACTGTACCAAGACACCAAAACTAGCAAATAGAGTGAATCGTTGTTAAAGAATACCTAGGCTATATTCGGTTTTATGTAATGCTACGTAATATAATCAAAGATATAATGCAATGAAAAATGTAATGGAATGGAATTAAGATTCCATTATTATGTTTGGTAATATAATTGAAAAAATATGCAAAATGTAATTATCATTCAATTTTTATATTTGTTTGTAAATATGTAACGTAATTAACATACCACCACCACTACCACCATCACTCCACCTTCACCACCACCCCAATTGCAACTCTACTACCATAACCACCATATCATTATTAATAAAAAAGAAATGTTTGAATAAAAAATTATTCATTATATCAAACTATTAAAGACTATTAATTAACATAAATTTTTATATTTGTTTGTAAATATGTAACGTAATTAACATACCACCACCACTACCACCATCACTCCACCTTCACCACCACCCCAATTGCAACTCTACTACCATAACCACCATATCATTATTAATAAAAAAGAAATGTTTGAATAAAAAATTATTCATTATATCAAACTATTAAAGACTATTTAGACCTATAAACTTTTTGGACCAAAAAAATTAAAAAAAAATTAAGTCGGAAAAAAATGTAATATAACAAAATAAAAGTTAAAGTTATTGAAAATTTTTTTTTTACACAATTTTATATATTTTCATTGAATAAATTAAATTACAATATAAAATTATATATTTTAATCTTTTTAATGATTTTTCATTTCATTCTTCATATTTCTACAACAATACAAAAGAATAATTAATAATGTTGTGATGGTGGTGGTGATTGCAGTGGAGTGGTGGTTGTTGCAGTGGAGTGGTGGTTATAGTGGTGATGGTGATAATGGTTGCAGTGGTGGCGGTGGTGGTGGATGGTGATTACGGTGGTGGTGGTGGTGGTGGAGTGGTGGTTATGGTAGTGGTTGAGAATGGTTATAGGTTTGTGGAATGTAATTGGCTTTACATAGATTTTTTGATGTAGTGAATATTACATCAATTTTAAGTAATGAAGATTACATACGTAATCTCAATTACATTACATGGTTAAAAAAAAGTCTAACAAAATAATGTAATCAATCATGTAATATAATTCTCATTCCATTACACGATTGATTACATTATACCAAACATAGGCTTAGTGTACAGCGGTACTTTATACCCGTACCACATACTATAACGTACCCAATTTTAAGTAACACTAGTCCGACATAATTTTTTACAAGGATTATGGTTAGTGAAACAGCGAAGGAAGTCCAAAACAAGATCAAAGAGGAGTTTCAAGGCAATAAGAAAATAAGGCATATGCAGGTGTTTAGCCTGAGAAGAATAAAATGATCAAATTTGTCAACAAGTTATCGAAAAAATTGATGTAGTGAACAAAATATTGTTGTCAGGTGAAGATTTGGGTGATGCGAGGATTGTAGAAAAAGTGTTTGTCAGTCTACCAAAAAAAAAAAAATTGGGACACAAATATCATCTTTAAAAGATTCTAAAGATCTGAAGTCTAAACAAACAAACTCTACAAACGCTGGTGCATGCCCTTACAAGCACAAGAGCAAAGAAGAGGTTCAAGTGACAAGAGAATTGTAGAAAGGTGCTTGTTAGTCTGCTATAAAATTTTGAAACATAAACATCATCTTTAGAAGATTTTAAAGGTTTTAACCTGCTAACTCTACAATTGCTGGTGCATGCCTTGCAAGCACAAGATCAAAAGAAGGCCCCTCAGAGAGGAGTCCTTAAAGGGAACATCTCTCGCTAAGATAGAGATAGAGGTGGCCACGGTTCAAGAATCGCCGGTTTTTGTTCTGGAATCGACGATTCCAACTCCAAAAGATCTGTAACCGGATCCGAATAGAAAATTGACAGTTGCAGTTACGGTCCTTGACAGTTTAAAATCGACGGTCCCAGTCAGTTCTCCGATTGATCTTCCAGCAAATCGCATAATTATAAAATAAAAAATTAGGGAACATTTTTTGTTGAAAATTTAAAATTTAAATATTTATGAAATAATTTTTAGAATATAAATAATTTTTAGAAAAAAACTTTTAAGAAAAAATTAAATAAAAAAGACTTAATTTATTTGTTAAAAAAAAAAAAGCTTGAACTTTTTTTTTTTTTTTTGAAAAATGGGCTCAACTTAATTTTTTTTTTTTAAAAAATGAACGGCAGTTTTAATAGCAATTCACAAAATCAACTTTCCACCCAAATACCCTTTAAATTTTTTTTTTTTTTTTGAAAAAGGGCTTCAACTTAATTTTTTTTTTAAAAAATGAAACGGAGTATTTATAGCAATTCACAAAATCAACTTTCCACAAATACCCTTTAAACTAATCGTTATATAGTTGTTAAAAGGGTTAATTTGAAAATTTCACAAAAATATTTGAAAAAATTAAAAAAAAGTTGGTGGAACGAGGTGGAACTGCCGGTTCTAACCTATTGGAAAAACCGTCGGTTCCAACCGGTTCTTGAAACCACCGATTCACGGTTCCTCAAAAGTTGAAACTGGAACCAGACCGCAGACCTTCGATTCCGGTTCATCACAGTTCCGGCTCCAAAAACCGTGAAACGGCCACCCCTAGATAGAGAAAAGCAAGTAAAGGTGATAGCGGCAAAATTGAAAATAAGGAAAGATCTTGTTCTCACTATAAAATAAAATAAAATAAAACTAAACATCATGATAGCAAATGCTAGGGAAAAAAGCAATGTAGGCAACGCAACAAATATGATTGTATTGACAAATTTTGCAGGCTTAAGAATCGGTGCAACAAAACTCAACTTAACGGGTGGATTTCATTGAAGATCAATATCAAGTTGATGATCATTTGTTCATGGCGTCTCAGATTTTTTTGTAAAACATGAGACATTAGGACCTTGTTACTCCTTTAGGAAAGAAACCAGTTAGGTGCAAATGTGTGTTCACAGTAAAACATAAAGCAAAAGCTTTATTTAGATCTATAGAGTAGACTATGAGGAGACTTTTACTTCTATTGCAAAGATAAATAGTATCAAAATATCATTGTCAAGTGCAGGAAATCTTTAATGGGACTTACAACATTTTAATATTAAAATACCTTTTTACATGGAGACTTAAAAGAAGAAGTATATATGGAGAAGACCAAAGAAAAAGCCTACAGATTAAAGAAGGCTTTAAATGGTCCGAAACAACCAACAAGAGTATGATTTGAAAGATTCAACAAGGTCATGATATCTTTTTGGATACTTTTAAAGTAATGTTGATCATATTTTGTTCAGAACACTATAGAGGTAAGATCACAATACTCATTGTTTATGTTGATGACATAGTTTGGAGATGATAAGGAAGAAATGAACCGTTCAAAGGATCACTTAGCCTAAAAGCTTGAAATTAATGATTTGGTAAGTACTTAAGGTGTTTTCTTGAAATAGAAGTTGACAAATTTAACAAAAGAAATTGTATTTTTGATCTCTTGGAAGAAATTGGCATGTTGGGACGTAAACTTGTAGAATCTCCTATTAAAGCAAATCATAGACTACAAACAGGAGTTGAGGAGTCAATTGACTTAAGTAGATATCAAAGGGTAGTTGGACGATCGATCCCCTTCTCACACATTAGGCCAAACATAGCACATACTATTGGTCTAGTAAGTAAATATATGCATTGTCCCACAAATCTCACCTAGAAGGTGTCTTTTGCATCTTGTGATACTTGAAATCTAGTCCTGGAAAAGGACTGCTTTTCTCATAATATTGTCAATTACAAATAAAAGCTTTCACAAATGTATATTGGAGTGAATCACTTGAGGATAAGAGTCAACATCAGGATACTACACTTCTATTGGAGGAAACTTTGTTACATGGAAAATCAAGAAACAAAATATGGTAGCAAGATCAAGTGCAAAAGCATAATACAAAGCTATGGCACAAGGCATTTGTGAGCTCCTGTGGTTATGAAAACTCAAAAAAAAGAGTGAAGTTGTTAGATTCATATAGTTTATTCCTATTCTATGATATCAAGGCTGCAATCACGATCAATATAGTCCAACATCTAGTTTAACATGATCGGACTAAACATGTTGACCGACATTTTATAAAAGAGAAAAATAATGGATAATTCCTTAAGCATTTCACGTGTGACTCCAAATGAGTAGCTAGCTGATGCGTTTACTTAGGGTTTGGGTAGCAAATCTTTTCACACTCTTGTTTGCAAGTTGGGGATATGTAATATCCATGGATTAACTTCAGGGAGAGTGGTGAAACCTCATAATTATTTATAATCACTGATTATTAAGGATTTTTTTTCTACTTACTTGTATTTTCTTCCTAATTTGTATAGTTGCCTATTCCAAGATTGATTTATGTATAAATGGGATCTGTTAAGGATTAGTTGTAAATAGAGTTCTATTAGGAGTTAGATTCATAATTAGTTTATGATTTGTATTCCTAAATAGCTCGGTAGCATAAGAATTCCTTATATATAGACCCTCGGGGAGCATAAGAAAAAAAAAAAATTCCTTATATATAGACCCAATGCTATGATTGATGAGATACCAAGAAATACAAATTATAACTATAATCTCTCAACATAGTATCAGAAGCCTTCCATTCAAAAAAAAAAACAAAAAAAAAAAAAAAAATTCCCGAAACTTCCCTTGCGATTAAGCCATTGCCACCCTAGGAAAGCCTTTCTAGGTTAGTATTTTGTCTCACCACCGACCTCAGGATATTCTCCAACGTTGATCAGCGCCTCCCTAAAATTTCCAAAAAGGGTTGTCCGGATTCCCAAATGAATGGCCCCATTCGTCACCTTCTTTCTTCCTGCTCTGCGTTCCATGCGCTGGCAATGTCCAGTGGTCTTTTTCACTCCGGTGTTCCTCTCTTCGACGTTGGCTTGAAGAGAGATGTGCAACCCAGTGAGTTGCATCGTCATTCTTGGGCTTATTCAATAGGTTTGTTTGCTGCGATTCTGTTGCAGTTGTGTCGGGCAGTCCTCTGCTACTGTTGTTGCTTTAATTTGCTGAAGAAACATATTTTTCCTTTGCTGTGACAATTGGTTTAGGTATTTTTCGGTGATTTTCTAGTGATTCCTTTTTGCATTATGGTTTAGTATTGCACCTTTGCTGCAGTTACGGGTATTCTGCTTTTGAACCTTCTTCTTTGTTGAGAGCAGTGCAACCCCAGTGAGTTGCATTGTGTTCTTGGCCTTCATTCTAGTGGTGTGTCCGTTTGTCAATTTTTCTTTGCTGCGTTTCTAAAATATCTGAATATCTGCGCTACTGGTCTTCCTCTTTGAGCATTGATTATGGAAGCTTGACACAGCCCTGTGAGTTGTTTTCTGGTTCAGTGAGATTTGTTTCGACAACCTAAGTGTGTTGTCTTGATTCTGCTACTACTATTTGGTTTGGGACTCTTTATTGCTATCATGAAGTGAGTACAGTTGCTGAGTATAGTATTGTGCTTTGCTGAAAGTAGTAGTTAGTAACAAGTTGAGCATGATTAACATCTATGCTCCAACTTGAGGGGAAGTGTTAAGGATTAGTTGTAAATAGAGTTTTATTAGGAGTTAGATTCCTAATTAGTTTATGATTTGTATTTCCTAAATAGCTACGGTAGCATAGGGAATTCCTTATATATAGACCTATGTAATCGATTGATGAGACTAAATAGCTAGGTAGCATAGGAATTCCTTATATATAGACCTATGTAATCGATTGATGAGATACGAGAAATACAATTACAATATATTCTCTCAACAGAATCCTTTGTAATACTTTTAATATATAAAAAATACACAATTTATTCTCTCAAACTTGTGTTTCATCACTGGGGTAGATATTATTCACATAAACATGATTAATCATGAACATCAATTTAAAAATTCAAAATATTGAAACCCTGCACATATTAACTAAGAAAAAAATGCATTTATCAAGAAAAGTTTGAGGGCAAGAATAAGCCGATTGATAGAAAAAAGAACATAACAATTTATGCATATTTAAACTTACCTTAAACCTGTCGGACTCCACCAATTCAAACACCACCGCATCACCATCATCTAATTTATGATCCAAAGCAAATCCCCTCCAACCTCCACTAAGCCCGTTCCTTTTGCCAAGGTACTTCGCATCACATGTTGAGCCATTTTCATCCTCTAGTATCATGTCCAAGTCCTTCTTTGGAAGATGATCCTTGCAAAATTGAGTAGGAAGCCCCTAAAAAGCAAAATGAGAAATTAGACAACGTTTGTAGCCCAAAATATAAGACTTTCCTTGATCTAAATTCGAAATTAGGCGTTGTAATTAACTATAAAGGTCGGTAGTATTTTGAACATCACATGTTGAAGCAAAATTTCCGTTATTTTCACTTACCAACCAAAAACAACTATAAACATGAGACCGAACCATTGATTTGACAAAAGATGGATTTCCAGATTGTAGACCACTTTGGAATTCCTCTGCAGCTCTTAGAGCCAAAGCTCGATCTTCATAAGAGGCAAGTTTGACTTCTTCCAATGGTCTTGCAACATAGCTGAAAAAATAAGGTGAGAATAATATGGCTAGAAATCATAATTCACTACAAAAAAATGTAACCATGTTCTATAAATATTTCCCAAAAAAAAAAACAACTCCACCTTTTCCATGATGAATTTGATCTTGACCTCTTCCGCAAGGATGGAAGATCAATGTCCAACTGAAAGAAGCAAGAGAAAATTTATTAGGATAAGAAATATCATAAAATTAACTGAACTCAACTCAATCACACTCTTTTTCCTAAGGTAATGTAAGGTCTATCGGTACGTATCAGTTGGAAAATGGAGATGGAGAGAAGAAAATCAAACCATAAAAAATAAGTAATTTCAGAAGAAATTTAACAAGGAAAATTGAAGTTATATTAAAAATTAAAGATTTCTTTTTCTTTTTCTTTCTCATGTCATTTTGGTGTAAAAAAAGCTACACATAGCAGTCGTCATCCTGAAATTAACTTGTGCTTACTGTGCTTGCTACCTTTCTTTTTTCTTTTTTGAAATAACACTGCGGACTATATAACAGACATAGCCCTCCCCTGGACTCACCAAATTGGTGAAACACACTTAAATGAGAAGACCAACTAAATCACACCTGATTGACGTGCCCACTACCTTTTTAATAACTCATGCGCTTCACTTTCTCCTGCTCATAGGTTTTTAGCATGATACAACTCTCCTTTCCAATCTATCCTTTTTATCTACAACCACACAGTTTTTCTTCTCACACCATTTCCTTTAACAAAAGCAGCTTTTATAGTAGCAAACTACTCCCTCCATCCTCAAATGTTTGTCCATGTCACTATTTTTAGATGTCTCAAAATGTTTATCCAATTGACTTAAGAAATATTAACTTTTCATTTTATACCCTTCATTATAACTGGTTTTGCTGCAAATTTTTAGGAATAACCATTTTGTTTTAAAGAGGACAATTTTAGAAAGTAGAGATATTTTGTATGACATGACACTATAATTATTTTGTTTCTTAAACTTTGAGTAAAAGTAACAAGACAAACATTTTGGGCCGGAGATCTTTGCTCTAAGTCAATACTAACTCCCCTAAGGAAATTTGTTTCATATTTTATGCTAAAGTTAAGCTCTTCCAACAAATTGGCCCAAGATAATGCTACTTTAACAGCAGCATATGTCACAGTCCTCAACACTTATCCTTGACATATGATTATTGCATGGTCCAAGCTTATCCCTTAGCATTCAAACCTAAAATTCTGCAAGTTGAAATTCAAAAATACAATGTATAAGGAAAAAAATTCTTTTTATTTTCCCTAATTTTATTGGATCATCTCATTTTTCCTTTTTCTTTCTTCCTTCTTGCAATAGCTTTGTGTTCAAACTCTCCTCCTTCATGTTAACTCCTCCTTAACAACAACACAACATAAAATAAGGCTCGTAGCCTTTAAACAACAAAAGAAATTCAGCAATTAAGGACATGTATTGGTCCCTTCAACAAAGATTTCTACTAAGCCTTTAAGGACATGTTGGTCCCTTCAAATAAAAACTTCTGCAGTTTAAAGACTTGATAGTAATGCGACCTTGCTTCCTTGATCCGTATCAGATAGTCTCTTCAAACAAAGTCCAACAATTTATCGACATGCCAAGGTCTCTTCAAACATAGATTTTGCAGTTCAAAGACATATTGATCCCTTTAACAAAGATTTCTATAGTTTAGAGACTTGCTGGTCTCTTCAAACAAAGTTCAGCAGTTTTAAGACATGCTAAGGTCCTTAAAACAAAGTTTTGACAACTCAAAACACCACAACTTTCTCCTTTTCATGAACACATCCAAACACAACCTTTTTTTTTTTCCTTGAAATAGGAGCGCATAACCAACATCAAAATATTTTAAAAATCTTGAGAAAAAACCAGAAATTTGATGAAGTTATCATACTTCATCTTCAACCAAAAATAACTAATGAAATTACCATACCTCTCCTAAAGAACGAGGCAAAGTCACCAAGCCTTAAAAACTAAACTTTACAATAAAAACCCCTCCAAACAGGTTGTTAATCCAAAACTAATTGAAATCAACTGTAAGTTATATGTAAGTATAAAAATAAGATATGAAGCTCTTAAATGCTATGCTCATAGTCAAAATAACAGTAAATTGATACCTACATCATCAAGATATGAGGTAACTGTATTGCGAGCACGCGAAGAGCGTCTTAGTTCAAATGCCTCGGTACCCTCAGATTTTGGTTTTGGAAGGCGTTGCTACAGAGTTTAAAAAACAGAATAAATAGATAAATATGAAATTCAAAACTCAGTAGGTTTTCGTTGTTCCTTTTCCCAATAACTCATAGAACAGAACCAAACCTCACCTTAGACTTCTTTTCAGGGCTACTGAGTTTGGAGAGACTTTTTGAAATGTTCGAAATTCCCAAATCCTTCAAACAGAAGAACAAAGAGATATCAGGAAAGTTCATAATTTCTTACTTAGCCAGAAATTAAAAATCCAAAAGTACAAAATAAAACTAAAAATCGAGTAGAAATAAGAGAAAGAACCTCGAACCGCTTCTTGTTTTCCTTAACGCGTTGCTTGCGAGCTTCTTCGTAAGTGTTGGAGTTACCATTCTCGATAGCCATCTTAGAAGAATAACAGTACTAATTAATTGCGACTTACAAATTTTTCTTCAAAACTTTAAATTATTGAAATCAACAGATTACCGTTGAAAAAACAGTACTGTGAGTGAAAAAAAAGAAAATCGCAAGTCAGTGCCAAAAGTACGGACAAATAGGGAGAAGAGAATAAGTACAGAAGGTTGAAGAAAGATCTACAGATCAAAAGCCGAAGAGAAGTTGCTCTTCCCGTACCCAGAGAGCTACCACTGCTACTGCAGAAATACCAAGATTCTTATTTTTCTTTCCTCTTTCTTACTTTTGATTTTGCAAAATGGCGCTTATTGAATTTCGAAATTTAATTTCTTTTTTTATAACTTATTGAAATTAATAGATACATTTCGTTTAATTTAATATTTTTTTAATAATAAATTTAAAATTTATCCTTAATAATATTTGTATTTTTTATTAAATTTTGATATAGAAATATAATTTTTATTAACTTTTAGTAGTATATACAAGTATCAGTCATTTCATACAAAAATGACTGAGTTCAAGTACTATTCATTTGTGTTGTGATTTAATTAAAATATTATGGTTATAAATAAGTTTTAAGCAGTCTAATTGAGTCGGTAAATTTAAATATTAGTTTTTTCAATAAATTAAATATTAATTCTTTCTTTTGATTTTTAGTTACTTAATTAAATTAATTGATTGATATAGACCAGTATCTTCAGCGAAGAATACAAAATCTCTTTATGAAAATGTTTCAATGAAATATATAAATATAGAAAAATCAATTTGTACTTAATAATTTTTAATGAAATAATCAGCTATATCAGTAATTGTCCAAAGATTTACCATAAATACTATATTATATTCTTGTATAATATTTATATATTTATACTATACATAAAAGTAGAAATGGGGAGATAATGAGATTGCCTGATATTATCCTTGTGAAATTTAAAATATTCTAAAATAACTTTAATTTTAACCAATTAAAAAATTTTAACCTAAAAATATATATAACATTTCTATAAACTGATTGGGTTTTTTCTTTTTTACTTCTTAATAGATAAATAAATATAGATAATTAAACATTTTAAATTTTTATTATCTTATTGTGTCCAATTAAAATATAGATAAGTAAGCATTTCAAAATTTTAAATTTTTACTATTATTATCTTATTGTGTCTAATTATATTTTATTTCATTATATTATTGTGTAAATTATTAATATTAATTTAATAATTTTTAATAATATATGTAAATGGGGCATTTGAAAATTTTTATTTTTTATATTTTTTAATTTATTTTAAATAAATAAATTTAGATGATTCAGATTTGATTTAAAAAATGTATGGTTAAATTTCTTTAATTATAAATTATTTTCTAATTTGGTTACCCAAAAATTAAGATAAAAAATTATTATTTTTTAACATCTCAAATTTAATTCGTTATATTGATATCTTGTATAATTCAAATTGTATTTTTATTAAAAATATGATTTTATTCATTAGTTTTTTAAAATACTTTCATGATTTTGATTGGCTAAAAAATAAAAATAAAAATTTAAATAAAAATTTATTATTATTTATAAATATTTAATTTGATTTATTATATTGCTTTCTTATTTTGTTGTTAACGTATAATTATTCATTTACTATAAGAGATTACAGTAAAAGTTATTAACAAAACATGTAAATTGAGTATAAAAGGTATAATAAAAGCTATATGATGATATTTATAAATCAATTTGGTTTTCTCTTAAAAAGAAAATAAAAGAAATTAATATATAATAAAAATTGTATGAATAAGTACATTGGCATAGGACTAAAAAAATATTTACTGTATATAATTGTAATATAATTTAACCGCTTAATCTAAATAAGAAATTTATACTTTAATATTATATATAAATAAAAAATTAAACGAGTATAAATAATGAATATATAACGAGCATAGTTAACGTGCAACGCACGTCATAAAGAATACTAGTCTATATATAAAAGCAGATATGAGGAGGAAGAATATTGAGATTGAAAAAGAAAAAAATCAAAAAATCCTACTAAAATTATGGATTAACAAAAATTTAGAATTTCAATTTTATTGGTTGAAAAATAAAAATAATTTAATTTTGATTGGTTATATTAACTTTTTTTAATCTAAAATTTATTGGATAAAATAATAAAATTATATTATATACTATATAAAAATTATATTATATACTATATAAAGTGTATATTAAAAATGGTAAGAATATAATATTTTTAAGAATTTTATTTTATTTTTTTTGAGCATTGGATAATGGGAATTCGAATCTGAAACTATTGATAAGTCGTAATACACTTACCTCTATATTATGTCTTGGTGCGCATTATTATCAAGTCTTAATGCACTACACTATGTTGTATGCATAATGTTGAAGATAATTTAACTTTGATTGGTTATATTATATTATATAAGGAACGTATTAAATATGGTAAAAACAAAATATATTTAATTATTATTATAAAAAATAAATATAATTTATTATCATATATTTAAAAATATATTATAAAATTTATTATCTGATATAAAATAAAAAATAAAATCCACTAGAAATATGTATAAAATATAAAAATTATGATTGACATATTACATTAGCAAACCATGTAACATATTGCTAGAACATTTTTTCCAAAAAAAAAAAAGCAACAGTAAAATTAATTATATACTCATAAACTTTAATGAAAAGTAAAAAATATATATTGAAAAATATATCAAAATTATAAACAATGATTAATATATTAATTATTATAATAACATTTACCCATAATATAATATTATAATATAAATTCAAAATATAATGAGTCAAGTATTATTTTATAAAATGTTTTTTTTTTCTATTTTGCGTTGTGAATGATCTGTTAATAATATAAATTGCTCATAATATTATAATTTTTAACAAAAAAAAATTATATATAAATTAATATAAAATTATATAGACAAAATTAAATTATAATTTTCGCAATGCACTTTTCATAAAAAATTTTGGATCCTTAATTATAAAAAATTAACAAATAGATTCTTCGACTTTCAATAAATAACTACGAAATCTCTAATTTACAGTAAAACTAACACAAGTTGATGGAAAGTGTTTTGCTACTATATAGAATATGAAATTTCTGTATCAGTGCATATAGCTTTATTAAGTTATACGCGTTAAAGAGACCTACAACAGTAAGTTTCATTAACCGATTTATTTTTTTTTTTTTTCATAAAGATTCAAATTTTATATTTCTCTCTTTTCTTTTTATCTGATGAATAAACACCTTGGTTCCCTATGCGTAATCAACATCCAAGGTCTCATCATGCATAGGAAATCTGCTGGAGTGAGCTTTCAGTTTCAATAGCAGTGAGATCATGGAAATATTCACCAATCATTATATTCCAAGACACAGCGTCTTTGCCTTCCATTGACTCAAACTATCTTTCTGCGTAGTCCGAAGCCCCACATTTAACACAAAGATGAAGAATTGAATTCTCCAAAACAACGTCTAATCCAATCGCATTTGTAAATATCCACCCATGAATCCCTTTCCTATTTCTCAGTTCAAACAAACTAGAGCGACACTTCAAAACACTTGATAAGGTGAATTGATTAGGACAAATACCTTCCTTTTGCATTCTTCTAAATGAACCAAACACCATTTTATACTTCTCATTTTGAGCAAAACCTGATATCAGAACAGTCCACGAGCGTACGTCTCCATTAAGAATTTCATCGAACAGCTTGTGGGCGTGATACAAATTCTGACATTTCTTCGCGTAGAGGTTCAAAAGATGGTTAATGGTACCAGATTATGAAGAGAACCAGTCTTGATAAATTTAACATGCAGTATTTCTGTTAGAATGAGCTTTCAGTTTCAACAGCAGTGAGATCATGGAAATAACATGACAGAAAAGCAGAAAATTGATAAGTTTATGCGAACTTTAATATCAAATCCTTTGGTCGAAACTATGCCAAGAACAAAGCCAAAGAAAATTTGATTTTCCATATATCATCAACTGTTCATAACACAAACTTTCATAACTAATCTCGTTTGGTCTTCAAAATCTGAAAAAGAAGCTCAAAGAATTTTTTTTTTTTTTTTTTTACAAAACCATGTCAGATATATTAGATATAATAGAAAGGTCAACATGAATTACAACATATAGAGCTTTTATAAACTAACACAATTGGTAGGAAGGATTTAAGCAAAATTCACGAGTAAGACTTGTTTTAGCTAATCTGTGTATTATCCAAGAAATTTATAATCTGGTTATGCAGCTTTCTCGCCCATCTTTCCATTTTGTCAGAAGACAATACATAAGCTCAAGGAAAAATTGATTTACAATCTGATACAGTTCAAAATACGAGGATAGAACGCATACCACAGGTGAAGATTTAAAGTTCAAAGATATTGAAGAAGAATGTTGATGACTGTTGCCTAAAACCATTAAATGCCATCATCTTCCTTTGATATCAGTAATGGCTTCTTTGTTCCTCTTCAAAATTGACGAAACCAATCTGCTGTGAATAATCTCTCTCCATCTACGGGTTCAATCGGTAACAAGTTACTAGATTAAAATTTAATCTAATGAATTGTAATTAAAAAATTAATATTTAACTGCACAAAATTATTTCTATACCAATACAAAATGTTATTATTCTCCGCTATAATCTTACCATGTTTAAAGAAAATTTCATACCCCTAAAATTTCATGCCCCTAAATTACGGCGGAACTATCTGAATTTGAAATCAAATCAAATCAAATTCAACAGTAGAATCACTCTATCGATGGCCTCTATGGTAGAATCAGTTGGAGGCCTAAATTTGAAATCAAATCAAATCAAATTCAACGGTAGAATCACTCTATCGATGGCCTCTATGGTAGAATCAGTTGGAGGCCCTGCTTACTAAGCGCTGGTTCTATCCCGGCCAAGCCATCGGTAGAATCACTCTATCGATGGCCTCTATGGTAGAATCAGTTGGAGGCCCTGCTTACTAAGCGCTGGTTCTATCCCGGCCAAGCCATCGGTAGAATCACTCTATCGATGGCCTCTATTCTATGGTAGAATCAGTTGGAGGCCCTGCTTACTAAGCTCTGGTTCTATCCCGGCCAAGCCATGGGGTAGATACCGTCTGTGATCCATGGGTCTCCGATCGGCAAACTGTATCCAAGCTCCGTGGCTAGTCTGTACTCTTTGGACTTTTCCCTAACCATAGATTCCTAAACTATCCTTCCATCAAAAACTAAGGTTCGGACTTTTAGACGTAAAGACAGTTTTACTATAATTTACGAACAGCACAGTTATTTCTTATAAATAGGATGACCAATTTTTTTCCCCTGTATACACCCACCATAGCAATATGAAATCAAAATATCTATGACAAAATTTCCCATTCTTAGCACAAATGTTACAATTCATGCCAAGATAACACAAAGCAATATCATCTTCATGACAAAAATTAAAGAAAGAAAAAGATGATTTTTCTGTCCGTTACACCCAATGAAAACTAAAACAAATCGCACAGACGAAATGTGACAACAGTGCTCATACCAACTTGGATCTCCAAATAACTGCAAACAAAATCATTGGATCATAACTGAATGGAGTTTTGGGGACACCGGGCATTAGATTAATGAAGGTGTAAGTCATAGAACATGGGACGTCTAATGGAGCGGTAAGCACTAAAATCATAGGCAAGATTTTTCTTTAATTCTGTCCAAACACAAAAACAAGAGTTCAACACCAGCTTTGTTCAACATTTCGCAGTTCAGACAACAAGCCAGTGCCAAGGACAAATTGAAATTTTCAACATTGGCTAAAAACCAGAACGATCCATAAACAATAGTCACTAAGTTTTCCACACTGCAACTGTATCTAACAGCCAAGCACTCAGCTTATTTTCTAGTAACACAAGAAAAATTATGGAGTCTTCCACCAAAAAAAAAAAAATAATAATAAGACACTCCTTCGACAAGGAAGATGACCTCAGAACCTGTGTTCCAACTTTTCCTTCTCCTGGTAGTTCTGCACATACCTACATGTTTTACAAGACAAGGAAAGCAAGAGAATCTGATTAGCTAGAACTAATAAAAAGAACAATTAAGAAACAAGCAATGAAACAAAGTGCAAACATGAGGTTACAAAGTAAAACACTTTATAGACAGAAATACCTCCAGCTCAGTATTGGATATAGTTTCCATTAGGGTTAAAAGCGAGCCAAGCCGCTTGTGAGCTCATATAACAAAGGAGCGAGCTCAAGCTTTGAAATGAGGCTCGCGAGCCAGCTCGATTATAAGGTCCATGAGCTCAATCTAAAGCTTACCTATCAAACTTGAGCCTAAAACAAGCCGCAAATATATTTTTTTATTGTAAATCAAGCCCGAGTCAAGTCAAGCTCAATTTTTTCTAAAGAGATGAACTCAAAGTTGACCTTCAAAGCTAGAGCTAGGCTAAAGCTCAAGTCTTTAACTAATGAGCTGGGCTTGTTAGTTGACCAAAATAAATATAGGACTATTTAATAAATTAAATACATATACACCCGGAGTATAATCCTAGGATTCTCCAGAATATCATCAACCATTTCTCATTATTAACTGATGAAAAAGGCACCTGAAGCAAGAGAATAGAAATAGAAACATGCAACTCTCAATCAATGCACACAAGTATTCATAAACACTTCCAAATTTCTAATGCGCTTAATCTACAAATTTTTATGCCTAACCACAATAGGCATATCAAAATCCAAGATTATCGTACAAGTTTCTAATAGATGAGACATGATAATTAGGATTCAAAAAAAAAAAAAAAAAAAAAAAAAAAAAAAAAAAAAAAAAAAAAAAAAAAAAAAAAAAAAAAAAAAAAAAAAAAAAAAAAAAAAAAAAAAAAAAAAAAAAAAAAAAAAAAAAAAAGAGAAGAATAGAAAACTTTTGGCAGATCCCTGGAAAATCTTTTCCCCATAACCAACCTTAACCATGCAAATGCTTGCTGAGCCTGAGCTTAACATAAACCTTATAAAAAATGCCAATTATTCACAAAAACATAAAACAGCAATATAGCAAAGAATAAGGGTAATTATTTGATTGTGACATTTTTATGCAGATGTAAACTCGAGGAGAAGCAGCAAAAACTCATAATAATCTTTATTACCAGTTCGAGAACCCACCAATCAAAACCCAAAATTGATAATCGTTTAACATAGAATGAATGATGCATATATTTGATGATACAATAATTAGTGTTTCATATAAAAAAACAAGGCATAAATTCGATACATCAATCAGTCTTAATGGTTTTGTCTTCTACTATTCATAAATCCAAATAAACGGGGGAAATTAGGGTTTTCATATGAGAAACAATATCGCAGATAAAATTAGAGAGAGAGAGAGAGAGAGAGTGTAGAGTGAATACGTGTAGGTGCCGATGAGAGGGGTGAGAAGGAGGGTGGCGCTGATCCAGTTCTCTGACACCTTGTGATGGATCTTGTTAGGCAGATCCTTCCATAAACCAGGCATTATCTTCTGCTGAAATGGCGAAAGAGCGTAAACCACCGCCTTCATTCTTACTGGTTGTTTCCCCATCTCTCCTTTCTTCTTAGGGTTCCTTCGATTGACGCTGTTCTTCAGCAAAACCCACCTCTACTTCTTCCTTTTCGTTTTTCTTTTTCATGTAAATAAATTTTTTCTTTATATTAATAGCCATGAAAATTTGACCATTTCATATTCCTGTTATATGAAGCCCATTGGGCCATGGCCCGATTAATTTCTCTTAAAATTCAATAATCATGTTGAAATTTATAGATAAAATTTAGTTACTATAAATAAAAAAATTAAATTGATTTTAATCAATGTTTGATGAAGATTAATTATGTTGTAGATGTCATAGTTTAAACTCTAAGGCCTGTTTGTTTACTTGGAATCGAATAGCAAAGTATGAGAAATGAAATGACTAATATAGGGAATGGAAATGATAATTTGATTACCATTAATAGTGTTTGGAAATGGAAATAATTAGGAATAGAAATATCAAGATACCTTAGAATGAGAAATACTATTAGATTATTGCTTTTTCATTATAGGAGTTTTTTTTTTCTTTTCTTCACTCTCACAATGTAAAGTTGTAAACCCACGCGCTATGTAAAAAATCAAAAGTAAGTAATAATTAGTAAAAAAAAATTGTCCCTAATATTTTTCTTCCTTATCACTTTATTCTATAAAATAATCCTTACACGTCAGGATAATATTTAGGTATTAAAAAATTAATTGTTCTAGTATTGTCAATATTATTCTATTTTACCAATTCACTTTATCAAACTCTGAAAAATATTATATTATCACATTTGTTCTTAAATATATCACATTTGTGGTTTCAAAAAGTAATAAATTAATTTTTTCCGTGTTTGCCTTTTTTATATGACCAATAATTATTACTTCAATTTAATAGTATATGACAATATTATTACCTTCAATTTAATGTCACATTTGTGGTTTCAAAAAGTAATAAATTAATTTTTTCCGTGTTTGCCTTTTTTATATGACCAATAATTATTACTTCAATTTAATAGTTTTCTTGGAGAATTAATATTAAACTAAGAATAATATAGTCATTTTATTCAATAATTTATTGTAACTTAGACAAATTTAATAATTTCCTCAAAGAACATGAAATTCCAAACGTGACAAATATTATGAAATAGAATTAGAATTAGAAATGCTACAATGGTTGATCCATCTATTAGTAAATATCCTTATAGATTCAAACTCTTAGAACCTTTCCCTCATTGAGGGTAAAAAGAATTAAGATTGTCAATGGACAATACAAGAGTGTTTTAGTAACATAATATAGCTGGCTCAGATGTATGGCTAATAATAATAATAATAATTATTATTATTATTATTTATTACAAAAATATCTATCCTTCTAGCCTTCTAAAATTATTAGACTAATAATATTTTAGAAATAAAAGTAAATAAATTTATAATTTTTTAATATGTTCCAACCTTAAAAAATTTATTTACAAATAAATTCTATCTGAAATTCATACACAAGTAGCATGGCCAAAGGCAAGTTCTGGAACAGGCTTAACCGGTTCCTCGCCAGCACAATCTGATGGCCCTGATGCCCCTAACTGGAAAGGGGCAACCATTTAAACCTAAGTCTTTTTTCGAACAAAAGCTCTTGCCAGAATCTGGTTTTGGAGTGCCACAAACTGATAACTACTATAAGAAAAATAATCTTTCCAAGAGAAGAATTCACAATTTCTGAAAGACTGGAAGTCATCTATGAAAAAAGTTTCTTGATTTCACTGTTGGCATATATTACAGGCTATTTCAACAAAAAAGTTCATGTTAATTACAGAACAAATTTAATAATTGTTAATACTTGTACACCTGCAAGCAATTATATGGAGAGAAGTTACAACAAATGAATTTTCTATTTCCTTTCCCTTGTTAATGTTTATGTTACCCAATAAATAGCCAGGGTTGAACTACCAGCAATTTTGCAAATCACTTCTTTTGCAGCTATACAGGATTGACATATAATGATAAGCAATAAATGGTAATAATAATAATATTAATAATAATAATAATAATAATCAAGAGTTTTTTAGATAAACCAGTGAGTAGATTGGATCGTGAAGTACTATTGACCGGTTTTGGCACGCTTCATTCCACTTGAAGTGAAAGGTGAAATGCTACCACTTGGTCGAGGGCTTTCTTCCCTATAGTTTGAATTCAACATTGCTAATTCTCTTAGCTGTTGCCTCTTATAGATATCCTGTGACTCATCCTGCAAATTGAAAGTTGGAGAAAAGTAAATGCCTTGGAAGGCAAGTCAATGATTTTTTAATGAAGGAAAGGGACCATCTACCAATACATATTAATACGGGAGGAGTACAGAAGATACCCTGAAAACCCTTACTTAATGCCTTGAGTATAAAAGGGTTCAACCATACTATGGATTAGCATGCCAGTCAAATTGATGCAATTGCGTGATGAGCAGAAGAAATGCTCTAGAGTGCAATATTTCAAATTGGTCCGATCTGGTCTTTGTCATTAATGGTTTGGTTCATTTTTGGAAAAAAAAAATATGAAAACAAAATTTTTTATTAGGTTTGATTTGGTTTGAAAATCACTCTAAACCAAACCAAACCATATTGTGCACACCCCTTAGCATGACGAGTAAGCAAAGGGGACATCCAATGCATGCGATCTGACATTGATAGCATTATCCTCTGAGGAATCCAACACAATGGTGGTCAGCACAACTCAGCAGGATATAAGGAAGAATTAACCATCATAATTTGCAATTTGATCGGGATAACAAGACAAAATGATAAAAAAAAAAGTCGAAGAATGACACAGAGAGAGCCAAATTTGTAAAATGAAACTATCATATAAGATAAATATAATAGTAGCATCCCCAATGCATTAGATGGTAAATAAAATTCAGAGAAAGGATGAGGATGGTAGTTATACCACAGGTTTAAGAAGTTCTTCAATGATCTCCTGTGCTTGTCTCAACTGCATGTCAATAATATTGACAGGTAGTTCACCCTCAATTAAGATGTGCAGTGGATCACTCAGATGCTCATATCCTGGTCTTCCCCTTAATGATTCTTCCTTTAAAAATAAAACAGAGTAAAGGAAAAATCTATTTTAGACATTGGCATACCAAACAGACAGCAGAAAAAAAGAAGAGTGAAAATAAATCGGCAAATAATCAAGCTGCACATGTTGACTGGTGAGAAATTACATGGTGTAAATTGATCAAATCAACTGAATAAGCTAAGAAGTAAAAGAATTCAAATCTTCAATCACAAATTCTTGGAATGGGAATTGTTGACTGGATTCACAAGAAATATATTACCTTTTCTGGGTCTTTTATTGAACCTTTTCCTCTGATATAGACACGACAGCCTGTAGAAGCTTCTACTCGTTTCAAGGAATTGCCCCTAGGGCCCAGAAGTCGGCCTACAAAGTTGAACTAAACTCCCAAACAAATCAAATATTATGTTACTTTTGAATTCCATATTGTAAGAAATCCAAAAATTGCAGAAATTATATATAAATACAAGGATAACAATTTAATGCATCACAAATAGAATAGCTCACATTTGGATAGCTATCAACAGGAATATCCAAACGCAAAATTTTCTTCACAATATAGGCACTTGGGCTTGCTGGTGCTGCTTGCCAGTCCATATTGATTCCCTGTGATCCTAATCTCTGTCACATAAATAAGATAAAGTCATACTACTGTAACTGGTAGTTCGGTACTGAAATTGGAAAGGGGAAAAAAGGAGCCAGGAGATCAAGAAAACATGAAGCAAAGTTCAGGTCTTTGAGTAATATGCAAGACAAACTTTACAATTACAGACGACTACTAGCAGTAATTTGGTTTGACCAGGTACCCATATTGAGGTGGTTATTAATGGGAAAAAGAGTAATGACTGGATATTCAATGGCAGAAAGCCAGAAATTAAAAAATTTTGACCAATTTAAGAATACTCATGCACAAAGCAAAATCAAACATGCTTGACATTCAAAACAGAGGTTCCTGATGACAAAAAAGTAGAAAGAATTTTTCTTCTGTAGCTTTCTAAGACAAACAATAACATAAGAACAAAACTTTGCTCGAACTAGATGCCTAGGACTTTTTGAAAGGCTTGAACTTGAAACTGAACTGGCTTTTGCCAGAGAAGAGAATAACTTATCCCTGCTTCAAACCTGCTGTGGTCTAGATGAGTTAGTAAGGCACAATAGTAAGCAAGTATATCTAATCAAAGAAAATTGATATTGTACATTTCATATCTGCTTCGTTTTTTTTATTTTAGACATCAAATTATTTCCATTTCATGCGTATAAATTTTCTAGGATAGAATAAGTAAGTGAATGTGAACCAAAATTGTTATTTTGCAAAAAGACAAGCAAATACAAACAGGAATACAAAACTAAGAGACTGTATTCCAATTAGTTCCAAAAACTTACTTCATTTTGCAGGCCATTCCACCCAAGGAAGCCCGTTCCTCTATTATTTGGCAGTATATCTGAAGAAGCCATAAGGTTTAAGCTTCCGCGTTGTGGTCTATCAAAGTCGCTCAACCCCTGGTTGGGGAGCATTCCAGAAACTCGCAATATCTCTGTTCAACACAAAATAGCAATGTACTTAATTTGTCCTTTTTAGTTCTTCAAAAAAAATAAATAAATAAAAAAGAAGTTTATGAACTATTTTCCTTGTGAAAACATATCCAGAACTAAGAGGTGGAGAAGATGTGTGGAAACAAGTGTAAACAGGTACGTGAAATCCGGTGTAAACTACAAATAGAACTCAAATAAACTGGAGAGTTATTACAATACTCATCAACGTTATCCAACAACACCTGTTAAAGATAAAAAAAAATGCGTAATTTGAGAGGTTATACCACATTGAGTAGTGATATGATATCCGTTGTAGACAATGTCTCTACAAAATATGTTCTGCCATAGTAGCAAACTACAGAGGAGGACTTATGTTACACAAAAGTTGATTCACTACACTTTAAGCCACAAAATTAACAATATTCACCAAAATTAAGCACTCTGGGCTATTGCACAATGATTAGAAGTAATTTCTAATCCTGAAAACTGAATTACTTATCTACTCTAGATCTTGATATGCTGGAACTGTGACAACTGAACTCTCAACGGATAAACAAGCTAGTCAAACCTCTTCTTGCCCATTACTCATTTAACCGAAAAGAAACCATATACTCATCCAAGGTTCCTAAAATATTCAAAGGAATGCTTTGGTTGACAACGTAATGTTATAATATGTTATGCTATTTTGTTCTCAATGTCATTAAGCAGATACCCATCAATGGCATCAAACAAAAGATACTAGTGATTGATCTAAATATACAGATTCCTTCATTAAGTAGTAGCATTGTCAATACATATTGTTGAGCAATGCACACATAAAAGGTTCAAGAAAACTCTTTGCTAAAGCTTTGAAAAAATGATAATTGATAAATTGAATGCAGTATATATCATTGCACAACTCAAGCAGTCAAATTTTACAGGAGAAGATGACATATCCAGTTCTAATTTAGTACCCACTCAATACAACTTAAAAATAACAACACAGCAAAAGTTCAGGTTTTTCTTTTTATCATTCTCAAATACAAAGAAGAGAAAATAGGATTAAACACACACAAAACCAAAACTATAAATAGGAAATGAAACAAACGTACAGGGAAAATATAGATCGAAATTAAAACCTAAAAAAATAAACCTTGATTCAAAAGTCGGCTACATATAGGTAGGACTCGAGCAAAGGGTCCAAGCTTCTGGTGCTCTTCTAAAAGCTCTGTCAAATACTGACCACTGAAAAATACAAGAAAATACAAAATAAAAAAAGAAAACAGATTCAATCAAAAACCATATAAATTTTTTTTTCTTGGAAAATTCATAATTTTTATATTAGCTACCTTTCGACATCAGGGGTTGTTCTTATATGCGGTGATAGAGTTCTTGCAGGTGAAAAATTTTGTGCATATAAGCCTGACATGAATATGGGCTTGAAAGAAATAGAAAAAACAAACAGAAAAAAAAAAAAGCCAAGAGAAGAAGTAGGAGAAGAAGAAAGTGGAAAAGTGAGTTAAGGTAAGGGAAGGGAAGAGCTGCCTCTACTGTTGTGTGAAAGGGAAAAGAAAGGGAGAGAGGGGAAAAAAAATTAATAAATGGTGGGTGCAAAATGAAGAGTGGGCTTTTTTGTGGTGCAGTAATGGTGGGGTTTAAATATGGGAGCGGGGTTTTAATGGTGCTTTGTTTGCCTTTTGTTGGCCTTTGGCCATTCTTTGTCGTAGAAATTCTTTTTTACAGGTAACCATATACAAATGGTTACCCATATGAGACAGGAGGAGACGATGGATGGAAAGAAATAGAAGGAAAGAAACAAGGGAGGAAAGAAAATTTTAGTCAAAATATAAAAATTTAAATTTTTAATCAATTTCAATATTAATGTTCAAAAATTATATGACATCTCTTGTTAAAAACAAACTTTAACTATTCTTTCTCCTCCCATAATCTGTATCCAGTTTTAAATTTGCACATAAATTAAAAAAATTTAATTAATATAAACTATAATTTTTACTTCGAATATACTCTTAAATTATATTCATAAAATTAAATGAATATAATTAAATTATTTTTTAAACTAGTCAAACATTCGATCAAATAGAATTTTATTGAAAGATTAGATATCGATATGTTAATTTTGTTTATATCAAGATTTAATTAATGTGAATATAGTAGTTTAATTATTATATTTATTAAATAAGAGTAAAATAGAAAAATTCAAATATTATTTTATATCAAGATTTAATTAATGTGAATATAGTAGTTTAATTATTATATTTATTAAATAAGAGTAAAATAGAAAAATTCAAATATTATTCACTGTTAAAATAATAAAACAATGGATGGAAAAGGAAAATAATAAAAATTATGAGAACAGATGGATTATTATTATTATTATTATTATTAAATACTGAAAATTAAAAGGCATGTTATGTAAAAAAGAAAAAGGCAAGAAAATTTCTTTGAAAATAGAAAATCTCATTTTGATTCAATAAAGAAAAAGTCAATTTAAGTATTTGATTCTTCATACCAGGCATTGCAAATTCTATCAACTATAATGACGGATTTTAACTTTTTCAAAGAAGGAATTGAATTAATCCAGTTTAAATTGATTTAGATTTTTTCTTTTATGAAATGATTTATTCTAATTGAAAATTGAATAATTATAATTCTCATGTTTTTCAAATTGTTTCAGTCTAGTTTGAATCGGAAACAATCTTTAAATATTTATTCTTAGTGCCCCATTTATACACCAAAGAGCAATTATAAATAACTGTTTCAATTCAAGCGATGATATTTCTGATCATGCAAAGAAGAAAATATAAAATAATAATATTTTTTAAAAAACACTTTTTTATTGGGTTTATTTATGAGACCATTAGTGGCGGATCCACTTAATAAAAACCCGAGTCAATTGATCTCTCTTTCTTTTTAGAATTTTCTAATTATTCAAGTCTATTTGTTTATATTTATTCATAAAATCAATTTATTTATGCTTTTTACTCGATTTTTGGCAAAAAAAATTATTTATTAATTCTTAAAAAAAATATTTATAAATTCGCTACTGCAACCATTCACACCTGAGTGTAGGCAAAAACTTAATTTTAAAACTGAGAAGAGTAATTTAGATGGGTGGAAAGAAAGAGAAGGAAGGAAAGGCAAAATTTTCCTAATTTTAAAACTAAGAAAGAGTAATATAGATGGGTGGAAAGAAAGAGAAGGAAGGATAAGAAAAGAGTAAGTATAGATGGGTGAAGAGAAAGAGAAGGAAGGTAAAACAAGAGGAGGAAGTCAGATGGGTGGAAAGAAAGAGAAGGAAGGAAAGGCAAAATTTTCCTAATTTTAAAACTAAGAAAGAGTAATATAGATGGGTGGAAAGAAAGAGAAGGAAGGAAAGGCAAAATTTTCCTAATTTTAAAACTAAGAAAGAGTAATATAGATGGGTGGAAAGAAAGAGAAGGAAGGAAACTAGAGGAGGAAGTCAAAAAAAGGTTTGCAAGGAGGGAAAGGAAAGGAAAGGAAAAGAAGGGGGGGTGGGTGTATCAGAATACGGGTCTCTCTTCGAAGATCAAGTTGGCCCCTGATAGTGATGCAACGTATATTGTTTTACAACTCTCGAAGGAGAGCGAGTGCTGAACACGAACGTGGAATTACGGCCTGATGTACGAGACATGAATTTGCACGCTCTGCAGTAGAGCGTGAAAATTGAAACTTGTCGGTTCTTGGATATTCGCATCAATGGAAATAGAACGGCTAGAGAGCCATACGTCCTCCACCGTTAACACGAGGGTAGTGTTTTTTATTTATTTATTATTTTTTCAACTTATGAGATATTTATTTATCACTTAATTATACTCCGGCGTTATCCGGTAACCGTTTTTAAATAGTCAACACCCTTTAAATTAATAAGTTAAATTAGCTTTTTATAAAAAATTAACTCATGTAAAATTTTAGTATTTTATAAAAAATTATTAAAACAACTAACAATTAACAGCTAAACGTTATTAAATTAATTAATAACTACTAAATTAATTAATTTTACTGAACAAATCCTAAATATTATAATTTTAGTAATAATAATAATAATAATAATGGCATTTTGGAATTTTTTAATAATAAAATTAAAAATATTTAATTAACAAAATTGAAATATTGAAACTATATATGTACTTTTTTTTTAAGGTAATACTACTCCATATTATTAAATAGATTATTAATTAGATCAAGGACTATATAGTAATTTAATATTTGAGTTGGTATCTCTATTCTACTTTTTGGTTCTTGGTAGAGATCTTTCTTTTCCCCATACCTTGATTTATCATACATTATATTGACTTGCTTTAATAATACTATTCAAAATGATATATATTATTCATTACACCCATATTATAATTTTTTTTAATTGATATTTTTATTTGTATAGCATATAAATGGAAAACAAATCAACATGTATCTAAAATAATATATTTAAAAATAAGCATATATATATTTAATAATTAAATGGCTATAAAAGTATTTAAATATGTTTAGTATATAACTCAAATTTCAATTAAAATAAATTGGTCTCAAATTGCAAAAGATAATAATATCGATAATATATAATTTAAAATGTAATCCGACAATAATGTATTAAAGGATTTTTCTAGTAGAATTTTTTTTTTTTTTTTTTTTTTACCACTAACAAAGTATTCTAGAATGAAGAGGAAACATCTGAGGTAATTAGTAGACTTTTAGATTAGACATGTTTGGTAAATAATTGTTCTGAGACTTAAATTTTTTCATAATTACAACTTCATCTTATTATTTAATAAATTTATTGTTTAGTTTTTGAAATTTAATTAACTCAGTTCAACTATTTAATTACTTATTTTTTGCAATTCAGTAAAAGACTAAATAATACTTTAATAATAAATATAAGAAACTAAATAGTAACGTCAATAACATTTGATTTAGCCGATTTTGTATAGCTGATAATTGATAGTTAATTCATATCCAACAGTTAGGATCTAATTGGTAAAACACGTTGTTTTGTAGATTATGATGTCATTCGATAAGGTAGAATATAAAAAAAATTTTCATGAATAAGATAGCGTTTATTAAAATATTAACCCCACCTAGCATTTAGAGTTTTCTTTTTTTTTTTTTTTTGATTGAAAAATTTTAATAACTTAGCCCTTAATTAACCTATATTAACGTCAGTTTAAAATCTTTCTTTCCAATGATTGTTATAGTACTGCAAGTCTATAACGATGTTAAAAAATTACATTATTTTATATGAAAATTTAAATAAAATAATTTAATAATTAATGTAATAGAGGGACGTGTGATGAAATTGTATTATCATTTTAGAAATAATAGTAATTTCAATTTATATAGTTGGACTATTTACTATAGATTGACATTCTTTTTCATATATATATTGAATTTACTTCTATAATCATAAGTTAACATTTTAACTCAATATTCAAATGTTCTTTTTTATCATTTTAAATTGAACAACTAATCAAATAACTATTTTTACCAAATATTTTTGCTTCAAACAACTATATAAACAACTAACAACTAATAGTTAGTATCTAACAACTATTAAAATAGCTAACAACTACTTAAATAGCCAGTATTATCGAACATGTCTTAGGTTGTAGGTGTTTGGTTAGTTTTTTTATCAGCAACTCCAGCTGATAGAAGTTCATATCAACTGTTGATTCTATTAGCTACTTTTAAAAGTTTTTTCATATAAGTTAGTAGCTTTTTTGTCTTTATATTTTATTTAGACATAAATATCATAAAAGTAATTACTAATAACATTATTTTTTTTTTCAAATTAACATTTCTTATGATCATTTTGTTTATAATTATTTAACACTAATAATTTTGTAGTAAATATTAGTTTAAAAAATTTAAGTCATATTTTTATTTATATAATACGTTAAGATAAAAAATATATTCACCTTAAAAAATAATACATTATCATATTATATAAATAAAAAATCATAACTTTAATGGTTATTTTACTTTTTAACAACAATTTGCTACCAAAATTTTACTAAATACCAACATTCTTAAGCTAACTATCAACCACCAGCTATCAGCTATCAGCTATCAGCTATCAGTAACCACTAAACCAGCTATCAGCTATCAGCAATCGCTAGACCAACTATCAGCTATTAGCAACTGCTAGATTAACTATCAATTGGTATGAATAGTTAAATCAAATGGGCTCATTGTATCAAATGTAAATGATAAATGGATTCAATGTTATAGGTGTAAAATGACACTTTTTGAACAGAAAAACTAAATAATTTAAAGGGTCAAAATTTCAAAGATGAATCTAACATATTATATATATAGCAAATCAGAACAATAAAGTTATGATTAGGATAAATTTAAGAGATTAAATAATTATTTTTTATTTTCTATTGGATTCCTTAACAATTAACATATCATTCTTTTTAATTTTTTTCACATTTTTAAAATAAAGCATTACTATAAATCAAGCTTTTATATTATCAAATTAATATTTTCAAGTCTATCAAAGATAATCCATTTCCAATGCTTTTCTTTCTCTCCTCCCCCCTCCCTTATTTGCTTATCCCCACATTATTAATTATATTATATGATTAAAAGGTGAATTGAATTTTATGTCACTGGATACATATTAAATGTATCTTTCACGAAAAATTTTGTGGCACTCTAAACTCTCGAGGGACTTATTGTTCAAAAATTACCAATTTTAATGACACTA